TATGTATGTATGTACCTTTGTTGTTTTACGTTCACTAAGTATTCAAAGTTTCTGATTGCAAGTCATTAATAAATTAATATTATTGTAACTACACACGTACTTAAATATACAAATACATACATACCTACTTACTAGGCGCATGGTTATTTATACATATGCATATATGTATATGCAATTATCAAAAGCCGTTGGATTGAAAAAATTACTCCCACAGAAATGCTACAAACTAATGCAGACAGAGGAATAGAAAAAACCACACAAAAGAAAAAGTTAACTTTGTGCGGTGAATAAGTGAGTGTATCGTATTTCGCAGCTGCGTACCAAAATAAGTACATAGATAGCTACTAGGGCATTCAATCCCGAAGCATTTTAACAATACCGGGATTTCGGGTTGCAAAAATTCTAAACCCGGGATTCCGAGATTTTTCGGGATATTGACTTCATCACAACTTTTTGAATTTTTCAATAGGTTCGTCTTTTTCAAATCACACGGATTCATTGTTATCACATTTGGTCTTAGGGGAGCATAATGGCCCTTAGTAAAAGAGTACCTAATTTGATGTTTAAATATTTTTATAGTATTCTAAAATATCTATATTACTTGTCAAAAACATTTACTCATATTTGCAGAGATCCTTTTCCAAAAAACGCCAACAATGTAAAATGAAGAACAACTCTGCCACACTGTAAAAGCTTGTTGTGTTTTCAATTGCTACCAGATTTTTCGATATTACACAGTTCTTACACAAATTATTCGAACAAGTACAGTTATTCAGGCACGCCCTGAAATTCTCTTCCAAGTGCAAATGGGTCAAGTTCACTTTTAATCCAAATTTTGGTGTTCTGTATTTCTCGTGTTTCATGTCAAATGAATTAAAATTTTTCGTTTTCAACATCGTTTTCAATCTGTAAATGAATCAGTAAAAATCGAGGGATCCCGGAGCTGTAATCCCGGAATTTCGGGACATGGAAAAGTGTCCGGGATCTCACGGGATTCTGGATCCGGGGATTGAATGCCCTAAGAGCTACATATGTATATACGTACATACGTATGTATTAGGTCATTCAATCCCGAAGCATATTTTTTGCAGTAGGCTGCTATTCTCAGCAATCAAAGATATATCTGTGGTCATAAGCAATAACCGCCTAAGTCGAAAAACCTGAATTGGAGAAAAAACGTTTTAAACATTTGGATTGTGGTGTTAACCTTATGGGAAAACCAAAATTTGATCCCCTATACCTTTTTAAATAGCCTAGCTGGTATAGTAGTTGCAGAATACGATAGCATATATAACTCTATTCTTTCTTAATTCGTTTCATAGGTATATGAGAAATGGTAAAAAATTTTAATTGATTAAAAAAATAAAAATTTTTATAAAAGAAGAATCGAAATTTTACAATAAGATCGAATGGATGGTTGCTGAAATATTTCAAAAAGTGTAAAAGCCAGCATAAAAATTTGTTTGCAAACAAACTCGCCATAAATAAAATAAAATTAGTGCAAAATTGGGGTCAATATAGCACACCGTGTTAACTTTCAAAATCGGTCAATGAAAAATAAAAAAATCGAAAAGTCAACTTTGGGTGGCTCACTTGAGAAAACTTGACTCTATACAATTATCATGGAACTTAAATATGTCTAAAATAACTTTCATGAATCAGATGTGTGGAATTAATGTCAGCCTTAACTTCCATGAACCCAAAATCGATCGATGGTAGTAATTCCTCGACATAACTTCCATGGAACTTATGTCACGGTTCGGTGGAAATTATATCGAAACCCCAACTCCAAACGGCCATTGTATTTTTATGAGAAGCTACTTTTATGGCAGAAATGCACTCGTAGGTTTGGCAATACCTACCGAAGGGCAACCGCTGTTAAGAAAATACCCTTTTTCTATATTTTTTTGCTTTGGCCAGGGCTTGAAACAAGGACTTACGGAGTCGTAGCGCGCACTGCTAAACACTAAACCATAGCGGCCGCCATTTATACATTCATACATAAGTTTTGTCAAAAACTGCACCCATTGCAAAGCTGATTGTTTCATTCAATATTTCCAGATTGTCCGAAGAAGAAGTCGACGTGCACGCTTCTGGAATATGGGACTCTTGTTCCTTATCTACTACTGCGTTACTGTGTACTCAGCCAAGGGTGATGAAAAACCCGAAACTGCATTAAATCCCGACAGTTTGCAGGAGGATGGGGATAGCGCTTTAGGTGAAACATCTGATAAGGAGGTAGATCTCTCAGACGCCAATGCGGCTGATAGTACATTAGGACCAAGTGTTACAACGGAGGTAAATAAAATAAATTCCGATTGAATTTAGAAGTATTCATTTTATATTTCCTTCCTCTTTAGGGTGCCACCATTATGTCCACAGCACCAACACATACTGCTGCTAAACATGCCGTTCCTACTTGGCGACCGAAACGAAATTGTACTCCACCCGCTATTGAACAATTCCCACAGCCATTGATGGGCAAATGGGCACGCCAACATGGTGGACTCATCATTCATATCATCGTTGCCGTATTTACGTTTTTCGGTTTGGCTATCGTTTGCGATGAATACTTTGTCGCCAGTTTGGATCGTTTATGCGAAGGTATGTAGGTGTGTGTGCAAATAAAATATTTGACCTCTCTATTTTCCATTTCCTTACAGAACTAAAACTTGCACCTGATGTAGCGGGCGCCACTTTCATGGCGGCTGGTAGTTCGGCGCCCGAATTGGCTACAGTGGTGATCGGAGTGTTCTTTGCAAAAGATGATATCGGCATAAGTGGTGTTATTGGCTCGGCGGTATTCAACATTATGTTCGTGATATCGGTTTGTGCTCTCTGCTCTGGAACTGTTTGCCAATTGAATTGGTGGCCTTTAGTGCGAGACTGCTTCTTCTACAGTCTATCCATTCTGGTTATGCTGATCATCATTTTCAATGACGTTATCTCGTGTGTAAGTTTTGTTTTAAATGCGTAATTTACTTTTGAATTATTTGTATATATCGTTACCTTAATTCATTAAGGCCCTAACCAACATTTTTTTTTTAAGTTACGTTTTTAAAAAGTCCTACCTGTGTTTGCTTTTCTTTTTATAGCGTTTTTTGATTTTTCCTCCATCACCGCTTGCATAGTTAAAGCTCGTTCAGGTATGAAACCTGTAAGTAAATGAATTATTCGAGCAACTTTCACAGGCTTATAGGCTTTGAAAATGTATTTTCTATCACCTTTGAAGTACAAGCGCCTTTATCTCACCTCTACCTTAATATTACCCCCTTTTTCTGCAGTTTAATAACTCCAAGTTAGTTCTCATACTCAAATCAAAGTTAGGAATGAGCCTTGTTCAGGAAAAGGTTTTAAATAAGTACACTCTAAATATCGGAGGGGGTTATCTCTATACCAAGTGCTTGCAAAACTGTTGAGTTTCCAATTCGTTGCCGGGAGAAATCTCCTTCGGTAAAAAGGTCAGGATCAGTAACGTATTCGATTATTCGTTTTTTTTGAAAACCGGTTTTCGCATTATTTAAAAAAAGGTAGTTTGAAAAAAAAAACCCGGTTCCCTATTTTCAAATCAAGAAAAAACCGGATAAATCATCAACTCAAACCCCTTTGAACTCCATCATCGGAGACCACCGCCACCTATTGCAGACGAAGAGCTCGACTTGCTTCGAGGGTCTCACGATACAAACTGCCACTCAGCAGGGCCTGGGTTCAAGCCCTGTTCAACCCAACAACAAAATATAAAAAAACAAAAAAAGTTTTTTCTAATAGCGGTCGCCTCGGCAGGCAATTGCAGACCTCCGAGTGTATTTTTGCCATGAAAAACAGCTTATCATAAAAATGCAATCGCTTGAAACTGTAGGTCCTTCCCTTGTCACACAATATCAAGGCGAACGCCACAAACCGGAGGAGAAGCTCGGCCAAACATTAACGTACAATCTATTTTATATAAACTAGGTAAAATCCCGTTCTATTCGATTATAAAAATCCGATTTACTTAGTATTAGAAACCGGTTTGGAAAACACGAATCTTTTTTCGTCGAAGAAGGACAAATATATGTATATATGTACGAATTTAGTTGGATTGGCCAATTTTCTCCTCTTCTTCTTCTTTCACAGTACGAAGCGGTATTCATGTTGCTCTGCTATGTGGGATATTGCGTTGCTCTTACATTCAACACGGAACTGGAACGATGGGCTTTATCCTTAAATTTACCATTCAAATTGCCAACCAAAGAGGAACAATCGTCGCTGGTGACCTACAAAAATATACCCGATAGTTCGTACACACAAGGCACACAACAACAACAGCAAACGAGTTTGACACAAGACGGAGCCTCCGGATCGCAACAACAACAACAACAACAGTCAACAAGCGAATATCAAAATTATGGAGATCCAAATTCTAGTTGGGATCCGAACGCCGCTTGGGGCGAAGATTCGTCGACAAATCCAGTGGGAGTCAGTGTTAGATACGGCCAACCACCAGGCGAAGATGACTGGGGCACAAATACATTTACCACCTCAGGACCCGGCTCTGGTCATGAAAATTATGCATACAATCCCGATCAACCGGATGCAGTCGTCACACCAACAAATACAAATGATGACGGCAGCAAACCGGTTGTCGGCAAACCACAGCCAACTGGCGTAGAATACTATAAATCATCTGACAAGTCGAAAGAGGCACGCCCCAATCCATTGGAACGTCCCACGGCAGGCGGACTTCCAACACTGATCTCCTGGTATGTCGTCTATCCCATACACTATTTGTGCCAGAAAACTATGCCGGATTGTCGCACTGAGAAATACCGCAATTGGTATCCATTCACATTTATCGTGTCGATGATTTGGATCTCCTTCTATTCGTATTTTATGGTTTGGATGATAACGGTGATTGGCTCAACATTGGCCATACCGGACACGGTTATGGGATTGACATTTGTTGCTGCTGG